ACAGCTCCACAATTTCTTCAATGGTCCGTCGTCGATCTTCCTTGATGATTTCACGAATTTTTTCAACATTTTCATGTGTTCGGGCCGTGGAAGGACGACCAGAACGAGGTTTGTCATCAATTGATATTTCACCATTTTCGAAACGGGAAAACCACCCAAAATAACACTTGAGTTTTCCCACTTTTCCCGAGCAAAAAGCAGAATTTCACTGCCACACGCTGTTCACGAAAATCAGCCATTGCAAAAACAACGATCACACAAAACAGTTGTCACTATAAACTCTGCCGAAACCAGTCCTTACCTTCTGAAGCAACGGTAGTCGGCTTATCGACTCAGGAATGTTAGCCCTATGCGCTCATAGCGGCAAAACGCAGTACTACAAAAGCTCTGCCCACAAAAAAATTAGTTCGGTTTCTTTTGGGTACCCCATCGTACATCTGTGTATCTATTAAAAATTAATGTAAATATGATATATGCTACTGAATATTACACAATGCTGACAAATTCTTTACATTTCCAGAACATAAACTAATACTACTCAGGTTTACATAATTTAACATAACAATTTTCAATGCAAACCCCCCTTTCAACTTTTTTTTTTCTTGGCACTACAGCCCCAGTGGGCCTAGGCCTACCTCCATGAACTCCGTTCACTTCGGTTTTTCTAGATCTTACACATACGGTAGGACTCCTTGGGCGAGTGATCAGCTCGTTACAAGGCCTCTACCTGTATACAAACACAGAAAAACACACACAAACATCCATGCCCTGAGTGGGATTCGAACCCACGATCTCGGCTTCCGAGCAAGCGAAAACAGTGCATGTCTTAGACCGCTCAGCTACCGTGACCGGCCCTTTCAACATTTCCTGATTTAATATTATCCCTTAAGTCAGTTTCAATGATCCCAAGCTAATAATTTCAGTAATGAAATTCCTCCATATAAGATCTTCCTAGTTCAGTGTTTAAATCCACTGGTCTATGAAACATTACCCAGAGGTTTCACTACAAGCACTGTACAAAATGATTAAAAGACCAAATAAGCAGCTCACCCGTAATGCAGTAACATAAGATGGATCCCGTAACTGTCCATTCTCTTCTTTGGTGTTGTAACCTTCAACCCTCTTGTCTCTTTCTGACACCTTCCATAATTTTATAGTCTTATCTGTAAACAGAAAATAACAATATGCATTACAGGAAAACAAGAATGTGTTACTAAAATAACGTAGTCTATGCTCTGATATGTATACATATAAACAAGTATTTATTTTATTTGTTTGGGTAGCTTACTTGTATTAACATGAAACAGATCTTTAGATAAAAGGTTACTACAAAAGTACCCTGTACCAGAGTAAAGGTCAACTCACTCTAGACCTTAGTGCTAAATGCAGGTGAATGGGTATAAGTTGTCACCTACATAACAAAGTTACCCCTCCCAGTGCTCAGTACACACCTACAAACAAAACACACTCCATGGTTTTAGTCCGCAAGCGAACTATACCGACCGAGCGACCACCGCTTGTCGGCGAAGGTAGTGCCAACTTTAGTGGAAAGAGAATGTTGCGTGGTTAGTGCAGTGGATCCCCACGGCTGTTAATCTTGGTTTTCTAGACCAGAACGGCTATTTCCTTCAAATAGCTCCTCAATTATCCTCACGAGGCTGAGTAGGCCACATTCCAGACCCAATACTTCTCAGAAAATCTGGTAGCACCAGGAATTGAACCAGGATCTGTAACCGCACCATCAAAATCCTTCCCCCCCCCTTTTTTTTCAGTAGCTAATAGTTAATTATACAAAGTTATGAAGAAACAAAGTTTAATTAAGACACTGTAAGAACAAGGAATAGGCGATGAGCAGATAGACCAAACTTGCGCGGACAAGGACACCTGCTAGTCCTTGCACCCAAGCATCTGGTTTTATTTTCCAAAAGGGCAGAAAGTGATGCTTCAAGAAAGTCCACTGAGTTTCTTTAGAAATTTAGAATTAGCCTTACAGTGGCAAGACACTTTGAGAATTCGAGAAGTGACAGTTTCTATCAGCAATAAGTCAGAATGGGAGTGCCAGGAGATCATTAGTGACCCCTCATAAGTTGCATCGCTGTCAATTTCGCCATTTTGTCTTTTAGGGCGAAATTCCCTTTAAAATAGTCTGTCATTGGCCGGAACCAAAATTAAGCCAACTCTCCTTATCTGAATCGACCTATCAGGGAAATTAGGAGGAGAGGAGAATAGGCAGATACAAATCAGTTAGGACCTCTTGCTCAGCAGAGAGTTCAGTCTAAGATTTTTTAGTCATTTATCAACTTTTGAACTTGGCGGAGGCAAACCCCGCATCACTCACACTAAAAGATAATTCTAAGAAGTACAAAATTTTGCTTTCATAACGACTCATATTGAGATTTAGCTTAAGCAACAAGAGCGCGGCACAAAGGAATTTGGCAAGCTGATTGAGTGTATTTTAGTGTAAGTGTAACATCAGCTGCTTGTAAGCTGAAACTAAATCAGGTTGTGAGAATTTATGCAGCCAAGTGTCGTTAAGAAGAACAAAAATAAAGTGTTGTGGTGGTAAAGTGCATTGTGTTGATTAGAGGTGCTTCACCCTCACATGTCCAAGCCTGACCCGTATCCGACCTGAAGAGAGACGCATTTCCACTAGCTAGTCAAACCCACCGCCAGCTTTCACATGCTCACTCCTTCCCCACTTACTATGAATCGTAAACAGTCTCTACCTGTTTGCTGGCACCGATATTACCGGATCCACTCCTGAAATCCAAACACTAATAATCTCAACTGAAGGAAGAAGCGGTGGAACCGGGTCCAGCCGAAACCAGCTACGACCTAGTGCCCACCATTCTAAAGTTATCATTAAACTCCACTTTCTTAACAACTAACTTAGGTCATCATTAACTGAATTATAATTTACAACTGTCATGTTTAATCATTCTTCATGCCTGTCAAATATACTGAACCAACATTTCACCCGATTTGTATTTTCTTGCATCTACCCACTAGTTTTTATTTCCTTCAAATACTGCTTGGGCTGTACAAAATCAGGTTCTCAGGATGACTGACAGGTTGTAAACTAATAAAAAGCAAGACTAATCCTTCTCAACAGAGTCTTTCAACATGGTTGCTGGTCTCTGTCTGCAAACTGTGTTGCATCACTATGACAAGAGACCCCTAACAAGAAATAATACCTTACTTCAACTGATAAAGACAAGTGATAAGAGAATAGGAGTGTGATAATAAGTATCTAATTTATGATATTTTTCCTACCTGTGGTCTGTTCTGAATACCAGGGTTGTGTGTTGGTAACTTTATGTAACCTCAGTAACCTTGCCATCTCATTCCAGATCAAAAGACACCTACTACCTTTTTTTTTATTGCTAGTGAGCTGGGACTAAGTCCCTTGTACTGTGGCCACTTCTGGCCTATTGTACCAGCCCCAGACGATAGGTGAGGGTGATTGTGGAGCAATTGGTGAAATGAACATTAGCAGAGGAAACCTAAGTACTCGGAGAAAACCTGCCCCAGCGCTACTTTGTCCAGCACAAATCCCACTTGACCAGACCTGGGATCAAACCCAGGCCGCTGTGATGGGAAGCCAGTGACTAACCTCTATAGCTATGGCGCGGCCACCTATTACCCTTGAAATAACTATCTAGCACCTATGAATTCTGTGGAGGGCTTCTTTTTTGTGGCATGCTGTACAAGCAGCTTTAACTACCCCCAAGGAACTGAATCTTGAGGTAAAGACAGATGCATCTAAATACAAAACCGTACTTAGCAAAAGTGTCACAACATGTAACATTACGGGATTCCATGTACTCATCACCTAGTATCATCATAACATCCAATATTGAAAAAATACAAACCACAGGTTTCTAAAGCCTTTCCAAGTAAGTATTTCCCATGAAGGGCCACACCATAGCTCACGTGATTAGTCGCTGGCTTCCCACCACGGCTGCCCAGGCTTGATCCCGGGTCTGGTCAAGTGGGATTTGTGGTGGACAAAGTGGGCCTGGGGCAGGTTTTCTCAAAGTACTTCAGTTTCCCCTGCCAATCTTCATTCCACCAATTGCTCCACAATCCCCCTCACCTATCATCTGGGGCTGGTACACGAGGCCAGAAGTGGCCGCAGTACAACAGACTTAGTCCCACCC